CGCCAAGTGAACACCAGCGAAAAGCCGCGCGACGTCGGCGGCGTTGAACTGTTGATGAGCAATCAGAAGAGCCCTCAGGCAAAATGTAAAGTTGTTCACCTTCACCGTTTGCCCAGATATAACCATGATCCAGGAATTACCTAATCGGGGCGATCAGGGTTTAGAAGGGGGGCAGTGTAACGGAGATGGCCTGGGGTACTCACGTTTGGAATGGGGGATCGAAATTCATGGTCAAATATGACACTGACAAGCGGGAAGTTTTGCACCTGTTCTGGAGATTTCTAGAACTATCTGGAATACCTGGACAAAGCTATATAAGCGACGACGAGAACCAGACTGGGGAGTGAAGTGACAGGAGCGACCGAGTGCAGAAGAAGGTTAAACCCGCGAGTCGGAAACGCGTGTTTTCCTTGTGTTATTGTTATTGTTAGTGAAGTTGACGGTAACTTTGAAGTTAGTTTGTTCCTGTTCCGTAGTTAAAGTTGTACCGAGTGGAATAAAAGTTGGAAGCAGAAGAAAGAGTTTAATACTCGGCCATCCACGGTACAATAGGATAGAAAACGTATGTTATACACTGGAACTATCCTGGTTAATTTCTAAGAAGCATGGGGCATAAAGGGTTTCGAATAATCGTCGATTTAAGCGCCTTCTACAAAGACCATAGAAATGTGGCTAGAATTTTTATAAAAACTAAGAAAATGAGCAAGATTCAGGATGTAAAAGCGCACATTGCATCACTATTTCATATAACAGACTTTTTCTTAGTGGCAACTGGTCATTTTCTACCGGATTTAGAGAATATTAGTGTGTTGAATAATTAAGAACTGGTGGTGTAAGTACCCAATAGTATTTAAAAATGTTAATATTTTCTTAGTTTGTTCTATGGGAAAATAAATGTATAGATGCTGCGATAATTTTGTCTATCAGTGACTTAAATATGCCATTTCGCTTGTAAAAATGATGGAGAAATCTATTTTCCGGCTTGAAAATGTTTTACAAGTACGTGGGCATAGAAAAGTTACACTCATGAAAAGAGCGTATAAGTGGGAGACAAACTAACATCCAATTAGCGTTTCAAAAAACGTCCACTTTAGCATCTTCCGAATAAAAAGCTGTTTAGAAACCGTGAAAAAACCATTATCACCCTGTAACTACGAAGCGAAGCAGAATCGGGCTTACGCTGATTAAACAAACTATAAGAAAACCCTAAAGAAAGTCATTAGCAATATGTGACTACCTACCTATATTATTCACATCCAATTCACAAAATAAACCTCAATTAAAATTTGTATTGTTTTGCTTATTTAGATCTATCAACGAAGTTTTGTTTTCTAGGGTTACTCCTAATAATGCTGACCTAGCCAGGGGTCCTCCTCAAAAGTCAGAAGTTGCAATTGAAACTTCTGGACCTAAAAAAAAGAAACGAAAAGGGTTCATGGAACCGATTCCAGAGGAAGTCCCTGCAAAATTGAAAAAACGCCATAAATCCAAAAAATCGATCACATATAATGTGGAAGATTCAGATGAAACCCCGCAAGAAACTGAGACACCAACGCCCTCAGTAGCGCCAAGCACTGTTATTAGTTCCTATCGAATGCCGTGTCTGGATACAGCCGTTCGGCTTTCTCGCCGGGCGGATTCTCCAATCGTAGTCACCAAATATGCCCCACCTGCAATGATAACAAGCAAATATTTGGCGGAAAAGAAAATAAATATTGTTAAAATTGATCTAATTAAGAACGATTCTGAGGCTCAGAGCATCAGCAAGGAAGAATGCGAGCTGAAAAGTAATGAGATAATTCCAAAAGAGTTAGTCAAGCACGATTCCAGTGGGAATGTTTCTTTGCTCGAGAAGAACTTTGTCCCTAGAACTGAAGCTTCAAATTACACAAAAATATTCTTGGATCAGAAGGATGCCAATTCACCAATCCTTGTTAATCAAAGCAGTGATCGTCCACAAATTGCACCTCAGAGCCTCCTAGATTTGCCCGAGAATCTTCTCGATATGACTCCGTCTTCAAATAATTTGGCTGATATCACTGTTGATATCTTAGAGAACGTTAGTAGTACCGCTGTAGTTGTTCAACCGTTAGAAGTGCCTCCAGCATCAACTACGAATACTCAGGCAGACCCAAAAAATGCATTGAGTGGCGAACTTATTGGACCAATCCTCTCTACCAGTACCATCACTGAAGATATTGAGGATCCGATGAAAGTTGCATTGGAACCAACGACTAACAGCCAAGCATCCGACCTTGTAGCAAAAAAGAAATTTAGCTTTGGGCTGATGGGGCCTTTATTAGAGCAACTAAGGGATGGTGTTGGGGAATCGGCAGATACGACCAGTACGTTACAGCTGCTGGGCAAAAGAAAACGCATTCGGAAACATCGAAAACGGTCCAAAACAGCTAACATTTTGGAAAAAGTACCCGCTGTCTTGCCCTCTTATTCTACACCACAATCCTCGTTTTCCTCTACTACTGGTCCCAGTCTACATCTGAAGTTCGAATCAGATGAAGAAAACGCTGCAGAACCAGAGAACAAAAAGGATAATGTAGAAACTTCATCGCTGTTAACTGCTAAGGGAAAA